GATAACAAATACTTTTGGCTTAGGCCCTTTTGTGCTTTTCACTAATGATGGAGATCAAGCCACTGAGTAATTAACAATACATACAAACATAAGTGATTAATAAAATTTACTGAGCTCATTTGTCCTACGTTTCGAAGACACAATCCTGGCAGCGGGACAAGGACTCGGGGCAGTGTATTTGAAATCGTCTTTTGTTTGAGACATTCCATTGAAAGGAGTGAGATCGAGATGAAGATTATTCTCGGGTCGAGTTACCATAAGCCGTTCGCCAATTCCGCCCTTATAGGACTCCCTGAAACAGAAGCGTAAGGGAAGACAGAGCTTTGATTGCGAGCAAGCATTACCTGTTTATTGTGCTACCGTCGAGAGGATCAGTATTTCTATCTATCTGGTCTTTCGGACGAGCAAGTGCAAACCTCTCACCAGTGCCTCCTTTATAGGACTCCCTGAAACAGAAGCGTAAGGGAAGACAGAGCTTTATTGTGATACCGTCGAGAGGATCAGTATTTCTATCTGGTCTTTCAGACTTCGGTTCAAGGTTTTTACTTCGTAGTAAGTGAAAAAGTCTCATTATTCCCCACCTCTCGGCCAGCCCTGCAACAACACTGGGCAAACCTCCACTTCGAATCTCGGAGGTATTATAATTTACAATATTAACTTTTTTTGGTTTTTCCTTTTTATACTTGAATATGAGTAATTTTCAAAAAAAAGTGATGAGTGAGCGAAAGCGTATCACTTCAAGCATGGCAAGACCGTCGCCAACTGTTAGTGTTTGGTTTGCTTCACATTGCTCAGGTCGACAACTCTAGCATTCAGTACCGCTGATTTCAGCGTATGGAAAAGAATAGATAGAACACGAAGCACACTGTAACATAATGAGCTTAGTCGTCGTCAAATACGATGTGGTGCTGCACTCGAGCAGTCCCGCTCAGACCGTTAACTCTATTTCCGACGATTTTGGCTTCTCAACTAGCATCACTTTCCAGTCTGTTACTTGTAGCCTTTGGGCTGACAATGAGTTCAACCTATATTTTATGTGAGAGTGCCTCGTGACTATAACACGAGCCAGGTATCAATGAGTACTCTGGAATACCCCAACGACAAGGTAGTCTGCAAATATCAGTATTGGCAGTGCTTTGGAACATTATCGCAGAAGAACACTGAAAAAATACACCACTCTCACAATCAGCTACCATGGATTTCTAATGAAAAGCGATCGTCACTATACCCCAAAACAAATAACACATCTTATCTTTCGCCTGCCGGATGGGTGCGCACAGCAGATAATCTTCAGCTATCTATTATGAAAAAACGTTCCCTGTCCTGGATTAGAGGATTTTAGAGTCAAGTAACATATGCGCATCAGTGTGAATCTCAATTACCTGCTGACGGTACTTCCGTCAAGCGGCTCGTTATCCCTGTCAATCTGGTCCTTAGGGCGAGTCATCAAGAATCGTTCACCGATTCCGCCTTTATAGGTTTCCCTGAAACAGTCAGGATTCAGAAGAT